TCTTCACTGTCACTTGTATGAATCCTCAACCCTCCTCCGTATCTAAGGGCTACATTCCTCCTCCGTCTGGCAATGGTATCATCCTCGGGCACATTGTTACCAGTAGCTGGCTCCTCCCCTTCACTAGGTTGGTACTCTGAGGGGGAGCTCCATGTCGGATCAGAGTCTGATGACAGAAGATGCCTCAGGTTTGCTCGATGGGCCGACTCTGATTCATCATCATCATCACTGGGGGAGTCTGAATCAGCTGGAGATTCTTCGTATGGAGATTCCTCGTATGGAGATTCTTCATATGGAGATTCTACAGCCGTGGAGCTGGTACCAGCATTCCCTGTCCTTCTACTGTTGGCCTGTGTGGAGTCAACTTCCTGGTTGTGCAGTTCTACTTCCTCGGATGAGCGTCCGGTTTCCTCTGAGGGTTGCGCCTGTCCCCCTTCCACAGCCTCGTCATTGTTGTCCTCAGCTGTTGATTGCGCATTGTCTGTAGCACCAACAGTAGTGGAAGTAGTATTCCTGTCTCTATTGCCTGCTCTTAACCAATCTTCCTCTTCATCTGAGTCAAGGGGACGTAGTGGGCTACTCTGATATTCAGAAGGGGAGGAGTCAAGGGGACGTGGTGGGCTACTTTGATATTCAGAAGGGGAGGAGTCAAGGGGACGTGCATGTGGTGGACTACTTTGATGTACAGGAGATCTGATGAGGGGACGTATTGGGCTACTTTGATATTCAGATGGGGAGGAGTCAAGGGGACGTGGTGGACTACTTTCATATTCTGATGATCCAGACTCAAATACCAATACTCCTGCTTCAGTATGAGGAATGGCTGTGTCCCTATGGCCCTCAGTGTTGTCTGGAGCCAATCCTGTGGCATTCTCCAAGTCTACACACAGATTCTGAAGGATTCTTGGTGCCTTGGCATGGATGTTCTTCTTCAAGTAGTTCCTGCTTCTCCAGCACAAGAACTTTAGATTGTCTACCTTTGCTTGCAATTCCTCATTTTTCTCTTTGAGAGAACGTTTCTCCTGTTCTTGTTCTGCAAGCAAGGCAAAAAATGTGAAGATTTAAAACGAAGCCACCAAATCTATCTTGTAAAACAGACTTTCTGAAACTTAGCAGACATAAAGGAGCATTTACACATGCATGGCTGTATGCACACACCCCCACACACACATACAAACACACACACACAATCAAGCATCTTGTAGCATTTTCTGCATTACCTTCCAGTCTTTTCTTTAACTCCAGGACACAGCTGTGTCCAGCCTGTTCCTTCCTGAGGATGGAGATGCCACATCCCTTCAGACAGGTGTCCCGGTGGTAGTCACACACACCGTTGTGTGCATCCATGTTTATCCTCAGAATGTGCAAGTCACATCCTTCATTAGGACAAGGCACCGACGCATAGTCACAGACCTGGGGAGGGAACAATATTTCATTTTAAGAGCAAATTTGTGTATATTACACTCAGTTTATCCAGAAAAAGTTGCTGGGAGTATTATAGGGTTTTCCTGAATTTATTGGAACAGCTGAGGAGATTGTATGATGCAAGTTAATTGGGACTGGGACAGAAATTGTGCAGGGTAGAAGGGTCACTCAAGCAATTATCAGCTTCCTGAATTCCCCCATGTCCAACATCTAATACCTGCTGGCTCCCAGCCAAATTTTAAGACCACCCCATTTCCTGTGTCTGAACTTTGACCTGCTGTCATTCTGCCTGTCAGTCTTCCCTCCACTCTCATGCTACTCTCTCTGGACAAACATACACACATATCCACAGAAAAACCAACCCAAAAACAATGTACCCAGAAGTAACAGAAGTAAATCTCTTTTCTTGTCATTAGATTGCACCACAACACATTATATACAGACCACAGTGTACTTACCTCCTTATGGCTGTCATAGTATTCAAGTTGAACCTTCTTGTCACATCCTGCCTGATGGTTCTCACACCGTATAGTCAGGTGGCTGATGAGATTACGGACCATGGGTAACACAGGCTTGACTTGCTGGCACTGTTTGCGACAGTTGGGACAAGTGCTGTGAGACCGTAGCCACCGCTGGATGCAGTCTTTACAGAAGACGTGGCCACAAGGACACTCCTGGGGATCTTCCATCACACACCTAGAAAAAATTTTTTTCTTTGTTTTGTGGCACGTAAAATGTGCTTGCAAAGCTGCGTAGTTAAAAGGCTAAGGAAACAGAGATAGAGGGCTGCGATAGAGTGGTACCAGGCTATTGGGCAGTTTGGGTGTTGAAACCACTGTACAGCTACATGCATACTACATGTAGTAGTGCCACTTCACTTTAACCTTCAGGCTGCCAGGGGGGCCTGCATGGGGGGTCCCGACAACGCTCTACGCTGAAGATTGAAAGCCAGCTACGTATTACACTACAGAAGCGATTACACTTGACCATAAGTTTTAAGTGGCCAAAACACATTACCTAGAGTTAAAACGCGAATTATGCTCTATGCAAAATGCGCCAATTACGCTCTACGTTGAATTAGAGCGGTCCACCTATGCTTTACATAGAATTAAAATGGCCGACTACGCTCTGCAGAAAAGGGCATGCGGGTCCCCTGCTAATAGTAGCCATTTTGCACCACCTTCCATAGGCAGGAGGGAGGAGGTTAAGTATAGATCCCTCCAAACCAAATATGTAATGAATCAACCAGGCTACTAATTATACACTTACCTGCAAATGCTACAGATGAACTCTTGGTCAGGGGGAGGGTCGAACATCTCCAGTTCAAACTTGCCCATGGCTGGATGCTCACTGCACTGTAAGTGTAAAGCACAATGAGTTGAAGACAAGCACACGGTTGGCCAGGAAATGAAACCTCCTAAACGATGTTACAGACAGCATTTTTAATGAATTTCTTTTTTTGTTGTTGTTGTTGTTTCTTTTGCATGATGGATAAACTACCTATAGGTGTATATAAACACATCAACAGTAAGTACAATCTGTGTAAGACTGGACTGAAAGGTTTGATCCACTCACACCGGGTTATTCTAGACCCCTTCTAGTACACTTCAGTGATTCGTCAATGAAGGTTAGACATCCAGGTAATACGATACGCCAAAAAGCAGTAATGTTACTCAAGCAACTGGATACGATTTTGGAAACGGTCAGACGTTTCAGCTAGTATCCACTAGACCACTACCTTTCGTCAGAAACAGTGATTGTTTACATCCCATCTGAGAGGACGTCCCTAGCTAACTGAAGCAAAATACTCATTTTCACCAGTCCAGTGAGAAAAAGTGCCTTTCCCAAGGGCACAACATACAATAATAATTTTAATTTTTGGGGCCTGTTTGGGAGTACAAGCCTGGACCTTTAGATTCTTTAATAGTGTACAACTTGGCGTTTTACTTTTAGTGTTATGGTATGCTTCAGTTTGGTCAGCTGCCCCCCTCCCCCCAAAAAGTCGAACCCCCGACCCAACCATTTTTATACCATTAAAATCACGGTAACTACTTCAAAAGAGAATGGTTTCAAAAGATCAGTGCCTTGACAATGCATTAAGAAGTGGCGTCGTTGCAAAATGGTAAGTTTAGAGCGTAAACCGGTGACAATATTTCCACATAGAAATGACCAACTCACCTACTACTTCTCTCTTTCGAAAATCCAAAATGGCGCGGAATCTTTGACCCCTGGGTCACCAACACCGCATCTCAATGTGTTGGGATAAATTCAGCTTCCTTGATGCCAAAGAGGTTTGGATGAAATTTACAACTCCTTGTTGATACATAAAGTAAATGATTGAAATTAAAAGTAGTAGACATTGGTTAAACAGGGTTAAAATTTGCCACAGTGAATACCCGGCTAGCTCACCTAGCAAATTATCATCAAATTTTTCATTTGGCCAAGTTTTAATCATCTTCGTTCTAAAGTTACCTCCAAGATTTAATCAAGTTTTTAGAGGCCTTTTTCTGTGCCACAATCTGTTTTGCCATCTGTTTTGTTGCCGGTCGGCTCTACATGTACATAACTGCTACGAATGATAGATTATGATAAAAAAATGACCATAACTTAATTAAGTAAACATTGCGTATGATGCCATGGTGCTATCATATCTCTACGTTAGAAACTGTATGGTTGAAGAATGATGTCTTGTTAATTTGAGCAAGGATTGCCAGAGTATAATGTCCTTGATTTCAGGTTGGCACAAAGCTGTTTTTACTGGTTCTCTTTTGCCACCCATTCTCCCAATGCAGAGCCCATCATGTGGCCAATGCCAATACGTTAACGTTAGGCAACACCAATTAAATTTCTTGGTTCTCGGATTTGCCTCTTCATTTTTTTCTGATTGAAAAAAAAGGTTCTTGCTCTGAATCAACTAAAAATGCTCATATTTTGCCCCCAACAGTTGAGGAAAGTCTTTTTCTTCCTACTTGTTATAGTTTTTCCATCTATCAATGAAGTGGTTTGATTGAAAGTTCATAATTCATTGTTAAGAAATTAACCCAGCCTTTTGTGACCTTTTGTGGCTCCTCTCATAGCATTTGAGGATGTAATAGGATGCCCAGACCTGTTTTTATTTTATTTTTGTTCGCAGAACCAACAAACCAAATTGGTGTGACCTTAACTAGCCAAGTACTAGTATTGTCGCGGGTGGGAGCTATGAATTTTTCATTTCTAGTCAGCAACTGACGGCAGTGAAGCATGTCGTTGAACAGAAACATATCCCACGCCCGGACTATCGTTAAGCAACTGACGATACTTTTGAAAGAGCCTAGTCATTTTTTATTTATTTGGCTCCGCACACCCTGAGGGTGCTGAAACTGACGTCATCATCAGCAACTAGATGCGTCACTAGGAGTACTTCTGTGAGCTTTGAATTAGCCTTTTTGGGACAGAGCTTTGATGTCTGTCGTAATGTCAATAAGTTGTTAATTGGAAACGCTTTGTCGCCTCACAATAAGCAAAATTAACCAAACGGTGCAGCTCTTTCATTGGCCAAGTAGCTGATATGACGTAGATGTAAGCTTGATGTTTGTGATGTAAAGGAAGTCGGCTAAAGTCAAGATTACGGCCGGACTAGGTCGTTAATCGAGTCGATAACCAAGCTGGGCATGAATAGGACATGACAACAAAATCACAGCCATCAGGGGAATACGTGATGAAAAAAGGGCACCGATGACGTCAATCAAAGTAAAAAGCAAGGTTCTGACGATGCTCGCAACACCAGTAGGTCTCTGTGAGTATGTACGGTAACATGTAGTACAGTACAGTTGTGTACATCGGCGTCAATTCGTGGAGCCGAAGTTCTGTGTCTGTTTTGTAGTAACCGGTAGAGATCTAGCTCGCAACTTGTCCATCCAGATGACTGCGATTTTCCAACATAGCTATAGGCAGGTATACATGGGGCCACGGGACGTTTGCTGGTGAGAGCTTTTTTATCACGGCAGCCTCGACTTTTACTTCCGAACGTTCAACTCAAGTTGGGGCCAATCTGCAACAACGGTAAGACAGTTTGAGACTTCGTTGTTCTGTCTTTTTCTCGATCACATAATAAGGACTTCTATTTCTAACACTGGGAGACTGACCAATCTTACAAACAATCATTGGATGTCATCTAAGGCACCCAAAAGACCTAGATCACGAGGCTCGGGCAACAG